TATCTAGGAAACATTCAAAATTAAAATCCAGGTGAACAAAATCTTTATAGGAACACAAGGTTAAATGATAATGCAAGTTAATTAATATACTAGGGTTGCACATATTAAGCACATCTCAACTTAGTTGCAAATTACAGTGACTTTGCAACTCCCTCCTTGTTCTTAGGAGGTTTTTGCTTCATTAGTTTTAGAATTGTCATGCAATTAATTTATGATTAATGGAAAGATGGAAGAGGAGGGATGAACTGCTAGTTGGGATGTGTTGCAGGGAGAGACTCCTATCTTTGCCCACTTGATTTTTTTTCCTGTTATTTAAACATTTTAACAGCTAAACTGTGTGTGCATACTACCTAGGCAAATAAAACTTTCAAGATCTTTTTATGGTAGGGATTAGATCGCAAATTAGATGTAGCACAGCAAGAGATGATAAATACACAGAGAATACTAAGGAAGGAATATAATAGAATGATGCTTAATATTCAGGAGATGAGAACTCTGCAGATGTTTGTTCACATCTTTTAGATCTCATTTTTCTTTCGTCTGTTTTGTTTGCTAACACACTGAGCTCGCATCCCTCTGCATGAGGACCAGGTCCTCAATGCAATGCTAACCTGTAAGTTTTGGGAGTGATGATTAGGGATCACTTCTAAAATTTATAGAAAATATTTCACATATTTAAGATGAAAAAAAACTTCCAGTGATTTGTAACATGAAATTAGCTAAGGAAATGGGACATTGCAAACAGTACAGCCTTTTTTATTTTTCTGAGGCAACACAGCTGAGCACAGCACAAAGGCGTATCAGCATGTCTCGTGACTCTGGTCTAGTTAGGTCCAACCGTTGTGGAGAAGGGTTGTCTGTGCTGTGCAGCACAAGGTAACAAAGGCGCAAGTCCCAGTCGCTGTCCTGTCATGGCAGCATTGGTGTCTGAGTGAACTCGTGCTGTCAGAAAGCAAGGGGAAAAAGATTGGCCAGTTTTAACAGCACTGGTGTGAGAAAACCAGTGATCACATGTAAACTGGTACAGAAGTTCTGGTCTGTTCTAAATGTCTTGCCGGACACTCAAGATATTTATGAGAACACAACAGTCATCTCATCAGAATAAAGACTATATGATGCCACATGCATTTGCAGAAATATCAAATTGCCATGCCACAACGTTATTTGCAGTGCCCTGATGCACGCTGCTTGGGGTTTTCAGCTACAGCACCACATCCACTCATCACAACTTAACACAGGCTGTTGTCAGCCTCTGCCTTCCACAGCCACATAATTAGTCAGTTGAGATTGAAAAAAACCCATGGTTTTCTCAGATCAAAAGTAAAATGACTTAAAAAAGAATCACAGTGTAATGACATTGTGAAAACATTAATCTAAAAATAAACATATGCTCACCAGCAATACTCTTTCCAATCTGCAGTGAGATTCTGAGTCTGTCAAATACGAGCTCAAATCTGTTCGAATCCCAGCAACCTTGGTCAGGGAAGGACCTCAGGAGACTACACAGAGGTGACTCCCCTGCACCTGGGGTAAGATAACAAGAGAACCAGAACCCCTTCTTACAGAAGAGGTAAAGAGCGAGAAGAATAGGTACTCGTGGCTGGTTTAAGATGCCAATCAAAAAGCAGTGTCAATGTATACTATATGCAACAAAGACAACTCTCCACTGCTGCTCTGTCAAAAATGCAACTTGGGGGGATTATGGAAGTTGGTAGAGATATACTCAGGAATATTTCTTCGGCATGTAAAACCTGAATATATTTATGCAGTCCCAGTTCTCTTCAGTAGAGAAAGCAAAAAGGGGAAGACTGTATTTGGTTTTACCAGAAATATGTTATTTAGAACAGTTTACTTTTCAACCAGGCAGCATCCTATAAATATTTTCTCTCTGTGCACTTTATTCAGTACATGTTTCAATCTACAAAAGGTAGCAAAAAATCTGACCAAATGAACAGAGTGGGTGAAGCCATTGTACCACTTCCTAGCCAGATCTTTAAAAACATTCTAAGTGCTTTAAGGCAGCTGAGCAGTGGTTCCTAGTATTTTATTCATGGAAAAACACTCTTAAGTTGGGGATGCATAATGAAATTCATCTGCAGTGCAGTACTTTATACTCACTGTAGGAAAGTACTATAAAATCCCTGTCGGACATAAATGTTCTGCAGTTTGCATGGGCTCTGAGGCTTCACTTTGGAAACCTGTGCTTTAGAACACTACAAAACAATCTGCATAGTAAGAATTACAAACTCAAGAAGTGATCACTAGAGTTCCCAGTAATTAGCCTTATAAGTTTCCAAGACACTAACAGTTCCGTTCTGGATTTTGTTTGGTTTGTTGTTTTTTTTTCCCATCTCATCTGGGTTTATGTTGTCTATTCTGTACATGATATATTCTGCCTCTCTAAAAATAAACACTGACTGCTACTTTTCCTGCATACCCTATGATTTTGATGAGCAATGAGAATGGCATTCTCTTCTGGGATAGTAACTGGGAAACATATTATTCTACTTTTAACCATAGTGTGAAGTCCCATCTTTAAATAGTAAAATTTTCCAGTGCACAGAGGGGAACTGCATTCCTTCAGGGATTTGTTTGTGAGAGGTTTGCAAAGGAATAAAGTCTATAGAGTTTTATTTACACTCCTGTAGGACAGGTGTCCTTGCTGCACAGAAACCCTCTCATACTGGTGGTCTCTGATAAGAGGGAAATGATCAAACCAGGACAGTAAGGCAATCCTTAAGCCCTGAGGCAGCTCTGGTAGGTCAGACTTCAGGAATGGTAGGAAGGCATGACAGAAACTCATGCACCTGTCTTAAAAATACACCAGGGACTTTGGTTTCCAGCTCAATCAAATCTGGTATCAATAGGGAACATTAAAATTGCATGGTAAACTGAAAATGCAACAGCTTCATACATTTATTTAACAGTTGTTTTGGCAGCAGACAATTGAAAAAACACTGAAATAGCCTACAAAGGAATACTAAGCACTTGAGGAATGGAAAGGAGGCACACTAAGAGTGCGCGCCATCTGGACAACAAGCAATTTGGCACCAATTTGCAGCTTCATTGGTTGATGAGCCTTTCACACAAAAGGCAGAATTCTTGCAAAGGTCTAAATTAAAGAATAAATGTCCTCCCTGACTGCTAAAGATGCAGTATGTTTAGCAGTGTTCAGTACAGTAGTTTGCATGTTCTTTAAAATCTGAAAATAGAATACATGCAACTGAGTGAAAATGATTAGAACATTTAACTTTCAACTCACTCATGTTTCCCAGAAATTATTTGTCAGCAAATTCAGGTCAGATGCTCAAACTGTAAATTGTGGTAGTTCATCCATGACAGCCTGCACCACCGAGTGTCTACTGCCTAGGTTTCAAAGTGTAGATCCTGCTCTGAAAGAGATTCTAAAAATGGGCTGATGAAGTTCTGAGTTTGTTTTCTACAGATCAACAGTTCCACTACTCTATTCTGCAAGGCACCAAGTGATAATCTACATGGAGCAGGCTTTCTGCCTAGAGTAAACCTGAGCCTCCATGTATTTGAAAGCTACTTGTTCACTTTCTTTACTGCTGTTCTCACAGAAACACCACTACTTTTGCCTAAAGGAGAAGATATTCTCCTGTAACTTCATGGATGTCAATGTATGGTGAAAGCCCTCACTGGAATTCAGCCACTTGATTTGTCCTGATGGATACAAAAATAAAAACCAAAATGCAATCCTAAAGGCCAAAGGCATTTCTGCTAAACAAAGCTCACACTTTTTTCTTTTTTTGGCAATAAACGAGACTGTAATTTTGCATCACCTCTGTGCATACATAAAGGGCAAAAATAAATCCTTCTCTTGAATCTGTGCATGGCACTGTCGTGACAGAACCTGCAATCCTCAGATATGAGAGGTCATATCCTCGGGGCATGAAGCCTGTTCTTTCCATGAACTCCCAAAGTACACTGAGATCCAGTTGTGGATGACTGTGTAGCCTTAACACAGCCTTGCTCTGTGCATCATGCTTCATTCTTTAATCCCATTTTTCCCACAGGACCTGTGTCTTACCATACCCAAAAAGGAAATGGTTCTGAAGATCAACCAGAACTGTGCAGTGAAGACAATCTGTTTCTTACAGGAATATTATTTAATCTATTTTACAAGTTAAAAGGTATTTAGTAAATGGAGAGAGAATACAGGGGAGGGAAGGATGCCTCAGTTGAGTAACTAAAAGTTGCTCTGCGGAACAGGACTTCTCTCTCCAACAAACCCTCAGTGTAACTCCAAACAAATCATTTAAGCCAGCAATGGGGCTTGTGAATCCCTAATGCCTTGGTGCTCACTAAACACTAATGACTAAATTTGAAGTTCTGAGATGAATAGGTTCACAGAAATTCCTTTCATTATTTTGAAATTTGGTTTCAGTTTGAATTGGACTACAAGATATCAGAACTGTCTTCCAGCCTTACATTTCCATGAGTAAGCTCAAAAATGTTGCACAGAAAAGGCAAAAGGTCATAAGTCTTCTTCAGGTGCCCTCTTCTAGCACCTTGCCTTGGAAAAAGGGTATTTGAAAGAGGAGTTCTCACACAGGCATTTCTTCCTACTGCTGTTATCAGAAAAAAAATAAAATATGCCTAAAATCCCTCTCTTAGAATTTAATAAAAACATTTTGACAAAGAAAACAAATGGAGATTCAAATTACATGTTCTGTATTGCACCGTTAAAATAGACAGGCGTCTAGCCCAGTGATTCTTAATTTTCCATCATTTGGTCATAATTTTTGTAAAATTAAACCAAAAAAGTGATACTATCTGAGATACAAACTGAAAATTAATATTAGTCAGAGATGTTCTCAGCTAATTTGAAAGGTGAGAATAAGTTGACCGAATCAACCAATTTGTTGGTTTGAACGTAACTGAAGAAGGAACTTAGTCTTTAAAAAAATACTCTTCATCAAATAGAGGAGACACTTCTATATTCTACCAGCAAATATTTACGAAGCAGCAGCACTAACCTTGTACTATATAAGGAGTGTTCTCCTCTCTGACTGGCAAACACATGGAACGAGGGGCAGGGGCTGGCGGCCTGTTCTTGATAAAGGACCCATGTTCTTTCCTCTTCTCTTCCTGCTCCTCAGCCAGTACGAAATCGTACAGAGATTCATCCGGTTCTGCAAAGGCATATGGGTGTTCTTCCTCGCTGTTGCTGTCTCCCTCACAAGCATCTTGGTCTTCTCTGTAGCATGCTGTTACAAGTTTGTCACCAACTTCTCTTTCACTTCTGTCCTCCGCAAAATTCCTCTCTGAAAAAGCGAGGAGTTGTGTTCCATATATAACGAAAGTTGACTAGAAATTAACTCAAAGCTTTAGAATTTCCTAAAGCAACTCAGACCTAACTTCACTTCTAGTTAAAGTGCTCTGTTTTCAGACACTTCTGATCATCTTAGTCAGCAGAGAGACTGTCCCAAATGACTAACTCCAACTTCAGGACCTTCTCATTATTTCACATCAGATTATCAAAAACAGATGCTTAACTATTAGGCCCCAAATAAATGGGCTTATTTAAAAGAAATACTCAGTGTCCCCAGGTGCTCCCCCAGGAGTCACGCAAAGATAGTTTTTTAATGGGGAAGCCAAGTCAGTGGTACCCATGGCCCTTGATATTTTGGAAAGTCAGGCTATTTTTTCACTGTTGCAACAACGACTGAAGAACTGAAACTTATTTTAGAAAACATTAGGTTTTGTCTTTAATACATATTCAATGTCCCACTTCGTTTTGAGAGCTTTATTAAAGATGTACCATAGGACAAGCTGAAAATAAATTTTAAAAGCCTCTTAGAGTGTAGATTAAATTTATGACCTCTCATAATCTATGCTAAGACTATCCAAACCCCTCCTGTCCCCATAACTTCCCTGACTCAGTATATTTCACTTATTTTATAGTACAACTACTCAGACCTTGCTTTACCTTTAAAATAAAAATGTTTTAAAACAAGTGAGATTAATACGCCTGCCATATTTAATATGAAAAATATTCTGTTTTCATGTCACTATAAAAGTTCTGTTTGTTTCTCTGTAGCATATTCTTTTTTTTTTTCTTTTCTTTAACTCCCACAGGGGCACTCTCATGTCACTGCCAAAACAGACTTCAAGAAGGTATTTGCCTTTTAGGTATTCCACACAATAAATTCCACTTAAAGCAAGTGGCTGACAAAAAATACATGGCAATGACTCACTAGAGCTACTCTTTGAAAGCAAGCACCATCCTCATTTAGAGGAAATACGATAGCTCCCACCCCATTGCCACCTGGGTCAGGCCTGTCCCAGGCACAGATACAAACCGGGCACAGAGTGGGTTGAGAGTAGCCCTGAAGAGAAGGATTTGGGGGCGTTGATAGATGGGATCACCATGAGCCGGCAGTGCACTCATGCAGCCCAGAAGGCCAACCCCATCCTGGGATGTATCAAGAGAAGCGTGGTCAGCAGGTCGAGAGAGGTGATTCTCCCCCTTTACTCTGCTCTTGTAAGACCCCACCTCGAATACTGTGTCCAGTTCTGGTGCCCTCACCTTAAGAGGGACATGGATCTGTTGGAACCAATTCAGAGGAGGGCCACAAAGATGATCCAGGGGCTGAGGGAGCTGGGATTGTTCAGCCTAGAGAAGAGAAGACTTCAGCGGGACTTTATAACTACTAAAATAGCTAAAAAGCTATTTCTGTCTACCTATGTGAACCTCGAAGTGCTTGATGATGGTAATTTAAGACTCTAATAGGTTATGCCACATTTTATAACAGAGTTAACAGGAATAACAGGAAAAACCGAGAAGCAATTTGTATGCACACTTATCGGAAGTCTCCATGACAAATAAGAAGGTTTTTTTTTTTCCATGTGACTATTTAAGACTGGCATTTAGGCTTGAACTGTTTCGCATACTTATTTTTCACAATGAGAAAAATAATAATCATCTCTTCTGAAATACATGCAAGCAGTATTTTGGGCTTCTCATCACTTGAATCAAATTACAACATTAAATTTTAGATTTTTACTTGGCAGCAGAAGTATTAAAAAACAGGAAAAAAAGGCAAAGCATTGCATTAAAGGTCACAATTTCTCCCTTTCTTTTCAATCTGCAACACAATATACAGCTTTTTATTTCTAACCACAACACTGGCTAAAATTTAATAAAATACTGTTTCTTCTCTACTCAGTCACTTTTGATTAATTCTACTTGTGAAATTCCAAGCTGTGTTAAATCAAGATAGTAGTTAGTATTTTTAAATGGTAAATACATTAGTCAGCTTGACAAAAATACAAGCTCAATCTTTTGTTTCAAGCCTCTCATAAATCCAAGGCATCAGGTACTATTTGGCAGCTGTCTGAGATGGGTAGAGTGAGGAAAACATGAAACTTGAACCCGGCAGTCCGTACCAGAGTATTAGCAGACATACCTGGCCATGAATATCTTGATGCAGCAAAGTTCATATGCACATGCTTGCTTTACAGAATTTGGGCCATACTGCCTAGCTACTAGTGTTAGAAGAAGCGATCATATATAATCTCTACAGCAGTACCCAGTCTACACTTGTACATGTTTCTTATTTTCCTCCCAAGATTGTACCTTGCAATAAATTGTGCAGATCGTCCTGTCTTAGGATGCCAGGCAGGTTTCGAGGGGGAGGAGGGGGTGGCCCCTTAGAGAAAAAGCAGTTTCTTCTGTTCTCTTCAAGATCATCAGGTATGCTGGCATACAAGCTGTCACGACTGCTGTGAAAGCTGTATGAATCCTCCTCTTCTTGATCTTCATGTTTTGCCTCCTCTCCACTGCCTTCTACATCAGCTTTCTTTTCCTCATCCACCTCAGCTTCTTGTTGGCATCTTGATCCAATTCCATATTGATCTCTTGTGTTCTGCTTGGCTTTTAATGCTAAAGAATACATTATTTCATTTAAAATCTGCCATCTGGAAACATTTCCCCTTTCAAGGATTCCCGGAGAAGCAACACAATGGCTAATAAAACTTTTATGAACTGATGCAGCAGGAAAGCTGTCAAATACACAGTCAGTGAATAGCTTTTAAAATATTTACCAAATCAACAGTGGAAGTTCTTACTGTATCTTGCTACACTGATATGCACCACCTTCATTCACACAATGTTAAAATTGCCTAGAGTTGCTGTCAGAATAAAATCACACACACTTGCCTTGCCTCCATAATTTGTATTACTTGACTTTCAATGCAGCACAGTGCAAGACTAAGTAAAATAAAGCCATAGCTTTCATAACTGTGCAGCTTGTTTTTATACAATGGAGTTTAGGTGCTTATTTAAATAGCTTTCTAAAATGAAGTAAACATTGCTCCTGGGAGACATGGCTGCACTCATATGGAAATAGAGCTCTTCTGTTTTTAGAGGCCCACAGACCATGGAACAAGATTATAGGGGAGTGATGTGAAAGTGTATGTTCTAATCACTATGTACAGCACCAAGATTTGGGTAGTCAACCTCAGTAACACAACAGAGTAAACTATAAAAGTCTATCAGCAGACTTATAGTCAATGCACAGCAAGTAATATCAGGCCCTTGAGGTAAGTTTCCTTTACGAGTTATCCTCTGGCGATGCCTTTCTTTCACCACTGGCTAACATGAGCAGCTGTTACAGTCCATGTTCTTCTTCCATACGTCCACCCTGGGGTGTTCCCATACATAGTGTGACAGACAATGAAAAACTACCAAGGCTAACCAGGTTTCTAGTTCACATTTTTACAGTGTCTATAGATGTGCTTAAAACAACCAGTATAAACTTCGCAAATAAGAAACATCCTCGCCATACAGAATATGAGACGATTGAAAAGATAAAATGTCTAAAAAACAGGTAAGATAGGAACAGGATAAAGTTTAGCTTTATAGATCCATGACACTGTAAAACATATGCAAAATACATGCCATCAGTAAATGCAAATAACAGCTCCACTTGCAGTTTTCAAGAGGAATGACTATGACCACACAGATTATCAACAAGCTTGTCATGGATCTATACCTAAATGTCTGAACATCAAACTGCAAAATGTCTATCACCTGTGCCACCACACAAGAGTTGGCTGTACTGGTAGGCAGTGCTTCCCCTTATAGGAAGGTTGCTCTCTAAGACTTGGAGAATTTGGCAGTTTCCTACATTCAGATTCGAGATTACAAATTTCCAGAATTTACCAAGAGGGGTGGCTGCACTGAGGTCTGTTTTACTGACCAATGATTTTTTGTTATCACAACTGAATCACTCACCTGTCTTCCTCTTTCTCCCAGGTCATCTGCCTTCTCTAGAAGTCGCAGTAACTTGTGGAAATTAAATGTATTAAAATAATCTGCTCCCTCTGTTTGTCCATAATCCCACTCACTTAATACAGCACATGCTTTATTACAGATAAAGCTGTCTAACAACATGACTTACTCATGGCTGGTTGAGTTGCTGGGCCTGACATAAGCACATAAATGTCATCACCTTCTGCTTCCTCCTCACAACTGGTGAAATTATTTGTGGCATTAATCTAGAAAGAAAAATAAATTAGAACATTTGGTTTTGGTGACATCATCGTCTACCTTCACACTCCACTATTGATATAACATTCAACATTCTACTAAGGGAAAAGTGGAGGCAGAAACATCATGCATTTCTAACTATGTAGTAGTATACATACCACAGGCAAAAGGAATGCATATATCTGGGTACATATAAAGGAGACAAGGCTCTGCCATGAGGTGATAACCAAGTTTGCACAGCAAGGACTGATTCACAGAATCGGAGAACATGTTGGGCTGGAAGGGACCTCTAAAGGCCATCCAGTCCAAACCCCCTGCCTTGAGCAGGGACATCTTTTAACTAGATGAGGCTGCTCAAAGTCCCATCCAACCCGACCTTGAATGCCTCCAGGGATGGGGCCTCCACCACCTCTCTGGGCAACCTGTTCCAGTGTTGCACCACCCTCATAGTAAAGAACTTCTAATGTCTAATCTAAATCTTCCTTGCTCCAGCTTAAAACCATTGCCCCTCGTCCTGTTGCTACACACCCTTGTAAGCAGTCCCTCCCCAGCTTTCTTGCAGTCCTCCTTCAGGTACAGGAAGACTGCTATAACATCTCCCTGGAGCCTTCTCTTCTCCAGGTTGAACAACCCCAACTTTCTCAGCCTGTCTTCATAGAAGAGGTGCTCCAGTCTTTTGACCTCCTCTGGAGCTAACTGATCTTGCCTTAGCACTGTGCTGGGCTGTGCAGACAGTTCCCTACTCTGGTCCCAGCTGTGAAGCACTCATAGGTAACGAGAAAGATCAGTAACAGAAAACCAGAAAGTCTATAGGACGGAATAGCTCAAGGGTGGACAGAGGAGAAGAAATCTCTGGAGAGCTCATTACAAAGTCTGTATATGCTAGTGATTGATACCAAAAGCTGCATGTGCACTGAAAAACCAGAAATGGGACTTCGAAGCACATTAGCATTCTACCTCAGTGCCCAAATGTGGCAAAGGACAGTTTCTTGTTCCTCTAGAAAGCTGTTATGTACACACAGCGCTACTCAAAATCAGCCTCCTGAGGGTCAGAACGATTTGTTCTCTAAAAATTTATCTATGTATTTCTTCAAGCAGAAGAGGCGCAAACTTATGCTCACCCACACCTGCTAAGAGCAAACCTGTAACAACTACAGACAGTTCTGCTGTCTTAAAATATACAACACATGCTTGTTAATTGCTGATTTTCAGAAACAAATGGAATTTCAAAAGGTGACAGTTTGTTTCAAGGAATCCAGCAGGACCTTGATTCCCATGGAAGTGTAATATGAAACTATCCTGCACAGGCATATTGAGGACTCTGTTGAGTCCTCAATAATTATTCAGGAATTCTGAATCACAAAATGATAACTCTGAGGGTTTGAATATACCAGCCTCAAAGTGGGTAGGGCAAACAGCATGGTCAATATATCATCCAGGCTGCAAGATTAATTACAAGCAGATTTGCGGACAGTGAATTCAAGAGGAAGAACCGATGAGTCGTTATACCCTTCTGCATGGTGCAGAAACTGATTTCCCTGAGCTTGTGCCAGACTCCAGAAATTTGTTCCTAATATCCTGCTGTCTCCTGGCATTCACAGCCACTGTCCCAGGGACAGAGTTCTTACTATCACAAAGGCAAAAAAATATGGAGAAATAGTGGTTTTTTCCGCACAACTGAGAATGCTCTCTTCCCTGCTGCTCTTGTACACAGTTGTTTCATGAATCCCAGAGTTTTAAGACAGTGCAGACAGCAGGCTGTGCTAGTCCACTTTGCTCTGCTGGTTTTAAGAATATGCCTGGATCTCCACAAAGCTATACCTGCCTCCAACAATAATGTATTAATCTCTGTCCATGTAATGTATACATCAGTGAGAGAATCTTCTCTTTTGCTTGAACTTCCTCACCATCGATCTGGTTCCTCTATACTTCACAGAAACAGGATACCTCCTAAAAGCCCTGAAGTTGGAACTATTCAGAATATTTATTTTCAGAAGATTTAGGCCTGCATGTGCTAAATGTAACTGTACATTTGAATAATAAAAAAAAAAGTCTGATAAGTTCTGTATTTCTCCTGTGAACAGAGGATGTGTGTAGAAGAAATCAAGCAAGTAGAGCTCTAGATTTATCAAACTCTTCTGCTATTAGACCAGACTACCATACCAGAGAAATTCTTTCAAGGTATTCACTTTTATCTTTGCAAACATGAAGTGCATGTGGATATACCCTTTCGCCTTCATTCTACCAACTGTAAGTGGAGGAAAGAAATGGCACTTTCCAATTTTCTTCGTTGGCGTCAATATTGCTCACCTGAAAAAAGCCTGGTGACTCACAGGAAAACATTAGAATAGATGCAATTAATACGCTTCTTGGAAACCTCCATGTTTCAGAAAACCAAAGGTCAGCACGCCCTGCTAGCTTACAGTGGTTCCATGGATAATGCTGTATCTTAGGTAATTCAGGATGCAATTCAGAATTTTAGCCTCTGACTACTCTTCCTAAAAGTCTCCTGGACCCAGGAGACACCAAAAAGCTGAATAGATGGAAACAGTCTTTAACTAAATATACATTTACACCAGAAAAAACTTTCTATGTAACATAAAATCCATTGATAAAAGCCTCCTGTGACACTGAGAATGATGACATCACGCAGCTGAAAAAGGTGTCTCAAAAAGCAGTGGAGCACATCCTTATTTAAGAATGCAAGAAGTACCATAGCTAAATCAGAATAATGCCATGGCTCAGCCTGCAAACCTTGCCATGATGCCCTGAAAGAACGCCCATTACTTTTAGGTTCAGAGTGTCTTTTACATGGGCGCAGTTCCATAATCTGAACATAATAGCACAGCCAGCAGTAGAATATAGAGTGTAGTGTACAATATGCACACAGACCTGAACTTCAAACACTTTTCAGTCTGCTTCGCTGAAAAATGCTCTTTAATTCACACTGAGATTTCTTATGCATGTCAAGCCACCTTCCAAATTGAGAACTAGCTTTACTGGGAACCAGTATTACCAAAAAAATTTTTAAAAAAGTTGTTGTCAGCATGGAATTGCTCACATCAGATTACTGAAAAGGTCTCCGAAGCTTTGAGACTCTAGTTTGCGAGTTAGCAATAAAATTCCCTTACCTCAAGATGCAACAGGAATGTTGCAATGAATTAAAAGTCCTCTGAGAGACTGCTGATGTTTTGAGTCCTAAGATTAAATGCTCTCTCTCAACATTGAAAGGTGGATACTTAATTTTCTTTCAATTATGTATTTTAACTGTCTTGATTAAGCTTCATGTCAAACTAAAGACGTTCAAAAAGGTCAAGTTTTTTAATAGCTTCAAAGCTGTCCCTTTTACACAAACCCTGAATTGATTTACCTCTGTTATTTACTCTGGAATGCCATTAGCAAAATTATTACAAACATCATGTCAGCATTTTTTGCAATGCCTTTTTGAAAGGCATATTTTCTAAAGATTTCCTCCTTCTTATACAAAGGATTTCCTCACCCCTCGAAAATATTTGTTTCCAGTGGGGAACTATAGGTCAGTCAGCCTTACCTCT